GGCGGCGGCGGCGGCGGCTCCTCCGCGCAAGGGGCTCCCGGGGGTCGGCGGCTGAGCGGGGAGGCTCGCTAGGCCGCCCCCGCCCCGCTAGGCCCTCGCCCCTCCTCCCGGCGCGCCCGGCGCTACCTGCGCTCGTCCGGGGGAGCCATGGAGTCGCTGGGGGAGAAGCTGGCGGGGGCGCAGAGCCAGGTCAACCGCTGGGTGGGCTCCGTGCGCCGCTCGTTGCACGAGGCGCTGAGCCTGGTGACGGCGGCGGTGGCCCCCGAGCGGGCGGCGGGCGAGGGGCCGGCCCGGGCCCCCTTCAAGCGCACGGCCTCCTTCAGGCAGCTGGCCTCGCGGGGCCGAGACTCCTTCCGCCAGTTCTCGGTGCGCAGCCAGCGCCGGCTCTCCTCGCTCAGGAAGAGGCCCGCCGGCGGCCCGGAGCAGCCCCCGCCGGAGCTGGTAAGGACGGGGCTGGGGAGGGGAGACCCTTCAGGCGACTCCCAGTCGGCCTCCTCCTCAAGCAAGGGAGCCGAAAGGCCCTTTGTCCCAAGAAGAAAAGGGGGGGGGGGAGATGGCTCCCTTCCCCAAAGGCAGGCGGGCTGTGGTGCCCAGCACTGGGGGGGGGGGGTTGAGTCAGGCCCTGCCCTGGGTCAGTCGGGGCCATGGGCTCTGTGTGTCCCAAGCCTCAGCAGGGCCCTGGAGGAGGGAGAGGCCCAACTGGGCTCCAGACCCCGACCTGGTGGTGGGGCTGGCATGAGAGCGAAGGCCTGGCACGGAGTCTGGGGGAGGGCAACTCCTGGTGGGGCAGGCTGGCAGGTCAGGGCTTGGGACTCTCCTGCTCCTTGCAGGGCAGGAGGGGAGAGAAGCCCCCTTGGGGGATTTGGGCTGGAGACCTGCGTTCAGGATGGCCTGAGGCTTCTCTTCCCCTTGGGACTTTGGGGGGAGGGGGAGCAGAGGCCAGCCTTGCTTCTTGGATGTTGTCCTGCAGGGAAGCTGCCTCTAAACAGTGGGGAGGGTTTGGGGGGGGCTTCTCTTTGGCCCACCAGTCATCCCAGGAACTTGCCTGCTGGCCTGACCTGCATTTCCCAGAGAAGGGAGAGGGCAAAAGTCACTTTGTCTGCCACAAGCGGAGGCCTTGCAGACCCCCTCCCCTAAAAGGCCTGGGCTGAGCTGCAGGAGATTTTACTAGGGAGTGGGGGGGGGGTTTCCTTTAAATCAGCATTTCCCAACCTCGGCCCCTTTAAGACGGGTGGACGTCGACTCCGAGGACTCTGACCATTGCAATGACTCTGCTAGCTGGGGAATTCTGGGAGTTGAAGTCCACACAGATTAAAGGGGCCGAGGTTGTTGCTCTCAGCGCTCTGAGGTTTCTAGAACTCTTGTGGCGAACTGGATGCCGTCTTGCCTTGGCACCCACTCTTAGGCTTTGTTTTGATTCTCTTCGGCAAATATTTGCCCACAGAGGACTTTAACCGGGAGGCACGTGATCTTCCAGAGGAGCCTGGCTTGGATTGGGGGGGGGGGGGCTTTCAGTGTGCCTGGGTGACTTTTGAAGCAAAGTTATCAGGGAGGCTGCTGTGCCAGCCCTCTGGAACAGCTGGGCGCTGTCCGCAGGGGCAGCCCTTGGGAGACTCCACGTTGTGGTGCCTCTCATGGTTGGTGGCTAGAGCAGAAGGACGGAGAACTCTGCCTTCCACTAGCAACCGAGCAGATCCTTTGACCCAGGGGGGGGGGATTTGAACCCTGGCCCATCGGACTAGCGTGTCTTTCTCCCGCCATCGTATGCCCAGCAGAAGGCAGCATCCTGAAGCCCTTCTCCAGAAAATGGTTGCAGACGGTGCCTGCCGATAAATCGAGTTCTCCCACAGGCATCATCAGGTTGAAGGCCTTGGCACAGCCGCTCCCTCCCTCCTGGGCCCTTCCCTGCCCCCCCCCCCCGTACTTGAGTGGCTGTGGGCACTGCCCCACGCCCCTCCTCTTCTCTAAGGACTGAACCTGGGCCCCTCCAGCAGATTCCCCTGCAGAGGGTCAGGCCACCCTGCCTTGGCATCAGAGAGGCTGGTGCTTGTGGAGAGGCTCTGGGGACAAGAAGGCTGAAGGAAACTGCCTGATGGCTGGTTCTGGCAACCTGCTGCTGACCCTGAACACTGCAGGCCCTGGCAGGACTGGAGCATCTATGGCAACCCCAGCGGGTGCCGTGGCAGCCAGCGAGCGCATCCTTCATCCTGCGCAGGGAGGGAGGTTCTCCCATGTGTGGGAGGGAGATGAAGGGGGCTCCCACTTCCTGAGCCCAGGGATTACGGGCAGCCACGGGGAGTGAAAAGCAGGCAGCCGGGGGGGGGGGGGGGGTTGCCTTCCCCTTCCGGTGGCCAGAGCTGTAGCTGACCGGCTGAAAGGCCGGCATGGGGCAGGCTTTGGAGCCCTTGTGCTTGAAAGAGAGTCCAGGGGTGTTTGGGGGTTTTGAGGGAGGGTCTCTCTCTTGAGAAGTTCCAGCTTGTCCTGTAGAAGGAGGTTCTTGCCTCCTTGGGTGGCTCCCCCCTCTCCCCCCCCCCAAAATCCCCTTGCACAGGAGAGGCTGCTGCAGATGTCTGGTTAAAAATACCCCCAAACATTTCAGAGAGAGAAAATCTGTTGGAATCACATTGAAGAAGCTTCGGTTCCCGGGAAGCCATGAAGCAACCGCAGCCCCCCCCCCCCCCAAAGCCTGCTTCTCCCTTGCTCTCCCCCCCCCGTCTTGACTCCATAACTTCCTGTCCCTTTGGGTGCTTTTGAGACACACACTCCCCCCCCCCACTCCACAGGGCTTGTGCCTAAGCCCCCCCCCCAAAATCTCTGGCTGAAGCCTTGGCTCCTTGCCCCTGCTGCTTCTAGGAAGGAGTCAGCCCCCCCTCCCTGAAAGAGCTGGGATCACGGGAGGGTGGGGGTGGGGGGAGCCTGTCATCGGTGAGGTCAGCCACTTCTAGGAAGTGGCTGCTTATCCGTGGCTGCAGCCGCCTCTCGCTCCGGAGCTGCGCATGGGGGGGGGCGGGCGTTGTTTTTGAGCCAGGCCTTCCTGGCTGTGTGTGCAAAGCAGACTCGCCCAGCTGTGTGCATTGGAAGGGAACGCTTAGGAAGTGTTGGGGGGGGGAGCTTGTTTCGGAGGGGGGGGAGCAGCGTGTGGGTCTGTGCACTGCCCACTCCTGCTTTTCTCCTGCCGGACAGGAAGCAGGCCGAAAGGATGGGATGAGAAGGGCCAAGGATTGGGGAGAAGGAGCTGCGACACCCCCACCCCGCGTGTCTCTTGGGCAGGTGGAGGGACTGCCTTGGCTGAGCTCCTTCTGGCCGAGGGTCTTGAAAGAGACGAGGAGGAGAAGCCCTCCCCTCTTTCAGGAATCCTGTCCCCCTCCCAGAGTCCGCAAGTGGGGCCTTTTCCTTGGGAAATGGGGAGCAGGAGGCTCCATCCGGCTCCTTTCTAAAAGCCTCTGGGGCTCCTGCCTGGCAAGTGGGGCAGCTGGGAATCCCTTCGAGACTCTGGGGGTGCCGCTTGTCCTTTCGGCGGTGGCCCCGTCCCCTGCGTGACCCTCTGGGGCTCCGGCTGAGAGCGCCTGGCCCTGCCCTTCTGTGGGGCAGGCCCATGCCAGGGAGGACTCCTCCACCTCTCTGGCGGGGGGAGGGGTAGAGCAGCCCCCTTCCCTTTGACTGACTGGGGGGCTTTCCCCCAGCCAAGGAAGCAGAGGGATTAGACCCACAATGTGTATCTGGGTGAGTAGCAAAGCTACATCGTTGGGGGGGGGGGCTTGCGCTGCCAGAAGGTGGTGGGTGGGCAGCCTGAGATGGCTGTGGGAAGAAGAGCCGGCCGTGATCGCAGGGCCCGGGGGGGCGTCAGGCTCCTCGGAGGCTTTTCTCCGGGGGGGGGCGGAGTGGGGGAGGTCACTGCTGGCCTTGGAGGGTGGCCTGGACATTTGGGGACGGAGCAGAAGCTGCTCAGGGACGCTTTTCTGGATTGGCCATTTCCCTTTGGTTGTCTTCCAAACAAACCCCCTGGTGCCTCTGCAAGTTCTTCCTCACCATCTTCTGAAAGTTTATTCATTGAATTCTACACCTTTTCTGATTTATCAGATATTGACGTTTCTGTTTGAAAAAACCTCTTTAAAAGTTCAGCTCTCTGGATTTTGGCCCTTCGGTTCCCCCTAGTGGCCGTTCGCAACCTTCCTCTCTGCCCTCCGTCCCACTTCCCTTCTTTCCCATTCAGCCTCTTTCCCCCCCTTATTTTTAAATTTGAAAATTTTAAAAAGCTTTTACAATTATTTACCTCCCTCCCCCACCCGAGCCCATCTCCCCCACCCCAAGCTCCCCCCCCCCACTTCCCAGAGCAAATACAGGGTATAAATTTTTAACAATCATATTCTAAAATAAACTTAAATAAACTTGGCTTCATCTTTCCTTTGTGCTTTAACTCCTCTTTTGTTAAACTAACTATAAACAAATTATATCATTCCTTTCCCTTTCAGTCATAAGCTGTCTGGAATTTCTTAGGCCCGTATTTATTTTGAATATAGTCAATCCAACTTCTCCACTCCAGTTTGTATCTCATCTGAGTGCTCCTTAAGGTATGCTGATATTTTAGCCATCTCTGCTAAATTTGTTACTTTTAGTGTCCATTCTTGAATAGTAGGCAGATCTTCCTTCTTTCATTTCCTTGTAATTCCTTAATTGCTTTACTTTTTTCTGTTGACAT